AGAAGCAGTGATTTCAGATTTGCAGCTTTAACTAATTGAGTTGCAATCTAACAATCATCTCAAGCAGTTTTTTCTAAATATGCCAAAGTTAGAGGTTTTACAAATCGTTATCAAAAGTAAGTTTCCCAAATTTAATATCTCACGCCCAGAAAATCAGTGCTATGTTTGTTTCATCTTATATATGTGAACAAATGTTTTCAACCTTAGAAACCTTTGAACCTTAGAAAGAATTATTTCAAAAAGAGACTGACAGATGAGCATTTAGCCTCGTTCCTTAGAATCAGTACATCTCGCTTCGAACCTCAATATAAGGAACTTTTAAAAATTTAGTCGCAATTTTATTCATATCATCAACATTTTTAACTGTAATACTTGTATATTGTTTTCAAAATTTTAGAAAAATTTATCTTGCCCCGCCAAATTTCTTTTTTTTTTCGATTTTTGACCCACGACCAGAAAAGTTTGTCCATCCCAGAACTAAATGTTAATAAGAAAAATATTCAATTAGTATAATCTTTCTTGGTATATATTCATAAGAAGAACAATAGAAATATTCCAAAGCTAACATGATATTCAGTGTAGTGATAATGATAGGGTGGAAACTTGACTCCAGAAATTGAGAAATTCCAGAAAACAGCCATTAAAGTTCTCATAAATTGTAATTGGATGTTCCACTCTTTTGCAATATATTGTATAAAGCATTTTTTGCAATATATTGTATAAAGCAGGGTTTCTTAAACTGTGGGGCGCGACCCCTAAGGGGATCACCAAAAATTTTAGCAGTTTTGATATTTCTTTATCTTATTATAATATTTTACAATTACCAATATTTTTACACAAGTTTGAAAACAGATAAAGATAAGACAATGCAGACAAAGAAAAAACGAAAACGTTTTGACGCATTCTTTTATAATACTATAAAACGTTTTCCTTGCTTTGCACGTGACACTGTGATTCCGTCTGTTACTTATTTAAAATTTTCACATTCTATGCTTTAAAATTTCATTGTTCTATGTCTTAAAATTAAAAATTAAAGTTAATGACCCAAAGCTGCAATAATATATTACAGTAAAAGTGAAAAAATTGACTGTTTCACTCACGCGTGTGTCGGATTTGCACATTACTTATGGGGTCCCACAAAACTTTTGTAAATATTATGGAGTCCTGTGGGTCACGAGAAAATCTCAGTGATAGAAAAGAGTCGCGACTGAAAAAAAGTTTAAGAAACCCTGGCATAAAGTAAATTTACTACTACTGCCTTATACCCAGTTGAATTTTGGTTAATAAGTAAGAGCCACTATAATTAAATACAGCCACCTCATTGAATCACACAGGAATCTATATCCCTTCACTTGCTTACATCTACTATTATTTTGAACAAATCAACTGAAAGAACAATATACTGTTAGAATTCCAGTAATTAAAAAAATAAAAACACAACTGCCATGCATTTTGACATTAATGAATTTAATTTTAAGCTTTTAAAAATGTAAAATAGTCCAAATTTGTATAACACCGAGCAATGGTTGCAGAAACATTAAAAATAATTTTGTATTGTATGAAATAAATTTTCTGCAACATGAAAAAAATACTAAACATATGCTATAAAATATATACTGCATAACTTAGGAATATATAATAATATATTTATTTAAAATTATTTTCCAAAGAAATCTGAGAATCTGCAAAATCATATGAATGAATGAAAACAATTGGAAAGCCATATATAAACATCCAAAACATGCAGTAGCAAGTACAGGTAAAGTACAACTGTGTAAGACACCAGAATATCACCATTGATCATATATGTAAATCACCAGCTCTGTAGTTCCGTCCCAATTGTCATAAATTTACCATATAGAGATGTCAGGTCCGAAAGCTTCCCATCCCTCTTTCCTACCACCAAACCACTCGAGAGTATTTGCATATTATTGCAGCCACGTAAATAGAAGTCTCCAGATTTTCAGAACGTGCCAAACTCTAGCAAACATCTGCATAACAATCCTCCAGTCAAGTAATGTTCCCATTTTCGTGTATGTTTGTTGTATTACAAATTCCAATGTTTTTTTATAAACAAATTGTGATGCTTTTTGCCTTGAATTTAAACTATTCATTACTGAAATCTCCCAGCAATGGAAGAAGCCACAGGACTAACAAAACTTTGTCACAAAATCTAAAGCAAATGCATTTCCTAATGTACTTTTAAGTGAAAACATATTGCTATGTAGTTTAGAATTTTTTTCTAAAAGTTATAAAAACCACCGACTTGCACCTAATAAATAACTTTTAACCTTTTCATTCGTACAAAACCCTCAATTGTTAATACTAAAGTACTCTTTTGGCTTGCTAATATTTTAAATGCTCCTATTCTACACAGATACTATATATATAAACATCCATGCTTTCTCTGGGTTTTGAAACCAGGCCTAACAATATGGCAGTCAGCATACTGCTATACCAATAATGACAGCATACAAACCGATTTTTATATATTACCCATCTCTCATCCTGTCTGCTGTCCCATAAAAAAGGAAGAAAATTCTCTATCAAAATTTTGATTAATTTATAGAAAATAATGTGAATGTGATACTCTAATGAATGCTAACTATATGTGAAACAATGCAAATTTCATTACTACTGTTCTGCTATAAAATACAGCTCTTCTGCTGAAGCGTTTAATTCTGGCAGAGTTGGAAAACACATATATTTAACATATAGTTTTTATTTTAAATGCTGTGTTTGTGTCCATGATATACTTCATACAATTAATGAAACATCCGTATATGCAGCTAATGATGTAAATCATATTTTTGTAATAAAGTTTATATGTCACTAATAAATAATATATAAAACTTGTGCTTGGTATAATTATTATATTTGTTTTATGTTTCAGAGTTTGAATGCGACAGAAAATTTGACAATTTAACTAGAAACTAAACAAATGTTTTGAGTCAAAATATTATCAAAAGGGTCTCTGTAAACTGAAGGGCTGAGCCTTATTATACTGAGATGTGTTACGAGGAAGTAAGGCCACAAAAGAGTAATCATGCTTATTGTTACCAATCTGCAACTGTATCAACTTTTGAGAAAAATACAACTTTAACTGAACCCTGAAGTATATAGCCCTGAAATGAAAAAAAAAAAAAAAAAAAAGTCCTGTTAAAGTTTATGAACTAATTAAAAAATGGTGTTTTTAAATTAATGCATAAAAGAAGTACAATTAAAATGATTAAATGATGATTATAGTGATTTGGGGGGGGATCTCTTTCCTCAATAATTTTGTGAGCATTTTGCTTTTAAGAAATATAATACAACATAAAAGCTATACTTTACTCAAAATGGTACACTAATTCAAAAAAAAAAAAAAAAAAAAAAAAAAAAAAAAATCATCAGCTTGCTTATTTGTGCTTTTAGTAATAACACTGATTTCAATTAGCTTTTATTGAATACATTTTTTATATGCAGCATTCACACTGAAATATTTTTAATTTATGTTGAAATTCATTTTATTACCAATATAACAACATCTTTTGCACTTTTTTTAAAGTTTATTTGCTACGGATATTTATTCCATGCTCCTAAAGTTGTACATCAGATTTCCAAGGTATACTCTAGGATACACACTGAGTTGAACGAACAATAGCCTTAGAAATTTTTTAATTAGCATTTTGTTTACCAAACCACATTCTCTGTTCATTTTTTCCTATGGTAAAATCCTAGTATACGTTGCAGCCTTGGCGCGATTTTGAAAATTATTGCCAACACCAAAAATGACCTAAAGAACGTCTATGTATATACTATACATTATATACTATTACTATATACATAGTATATAATATGTATAACTATATATATTCTTTTGAATGACCCATAACTATATATATTCTTTGAATGACCCGTTTACTACTCATCGTATATGTCCCGTTTTTACTGCTCATCATAAAAACCGCCAAAAGTAGCCAAATCCCGTGTGCACCGGATACTAGGATTAAACCTTTCCGGTCATTGCATAGAACATCATTGAACCATTGAATTGGTCATTGCATAGAACATCTTTACATCATTGCATAGAAACGCATTTTCCCTCAACTTTACATCTTGAAGTGAGAAACTTAGTTTTTAATAGGTGCCCCTTGTTTTTTGGCGATTCATTTTGACGCTAAGATCGGCGCCAGGAAGGCACAATTTCAAGATAGACGCTACACAAAACCTAACCTCTTTGACAAAACCAAAATAAGAAATCAAAGAATTGCACAAACTCTGCGTCCATGTACACATCGATCGGTTTTTCCTTAAAAAAAAAATCTTAGAATTGCACAAACTAGGCATTGCCCACTGCCTTAAATTTGTACAAATCAATATATTTTCATTTTAAAAAAATCAGGAAGCTAAAACAAAGTTAAAACTATCATGGTAACCAGAAATAATGTTTCGTCGCCAAAATTTAAAAAAAAAATTGTCGCTAATCGAAGGGGGCACCCAATTCTACATTAGAACGTTAGAAGGAATTTTCTTTACTTTAAACTTTTAAAATTTTGCCCACAAAATTTGTGAAAATGCATTATCATAATAAAGCCATATTTCATTTTTCAAAGCCAAACATATTAAAAACAAATTCTCCAAGTTATGAAGACACAGTCAATACTAGCGGGACACTGTACTTCTTTGGATTTTAATCGTGGTCCCACAAGACCATAACTGCTGAAAATAAAGATTCGGAAAGAATTTTAAATGCTTATGCATTAACAGATACAAAGAAATGGAGTAATGGTTCTAATTTTATTCATATGCATAAAAAATTACATGGTGTTTACCAAAATTCCTAAAAGCTTTTATCTCGGTCCCCAAAGCAGTAATTAGAATAAGTTTATATATTTATGAGTTGTTAAATACGACTTAAGTTCATCTTAAATTGTGAAAAAAGTAAGTGAAGCAAACGCACGTCAGTCACAGTTTACTGTTTACGCTAAAATATAAACAATTCTTGCTGCGCGACTAACGGGAAAAGGTGTGTGGATATTATAATGGGTCTTTGCGCAATTCGGTCATACGGTAATAAGCCAAAGAACGTCCGTGTATACATAGTCTTTAAATAAGCGCCCTGAAAAACTGTTCGAATTCGGATCCCTAAACGCAGTTTTACACGACAGAAATTCGTAATCTGTCAATGAACTTGATGCGATTTCTTTTTCTTTGTTTATCTGTTTGACATGCATTTTATTAGTTTAAGATTTAATGATCACCATTATTCATGATTTACTTACGGCATTGGACTAAATATTAGAATATATTGTTGAAGAAGTTTTTGTGTGATGTGAATAATCTTTTTTGATTCCGTAATCTACAAGTGAGTAATAACAAAATAATTGATAAGTAATTCTTTTCCTCTTAATCATTTGAAACAACATTTTTATAAATATCTTGAGTACATCTCGATTACATTAAATATATCGTAATATGGACTTCGGAATTTCAGATCTTCAAATAAATTTTGTGAAGATTATTGTAACTATCAGCATTTTTTAAAATTTATTTCTCCTGTGTTGATTGCTAAATATGCGCTTTTAAATACGTAGTGAAAGTATGCCAAAAGAATTTGTACGACGAGAGCTAGAGGATATAGCGGGACTCTCGCACAAGATATCTACAGAATTCTTGCCTTCCTGTTGTATTTCAGCTGAAGATTCAGATGAAGAATGTTATAAAACTGGTATGTATTTAATTTATATTTATTTGTATTAATATTACAGTAGTAATGCAAAAATGTGCCTGAAATAGGTAACATCATGTGTACTATATTTATATAATTCTGATTTGATGTTTTAGTGTCACTTGAAAATCCACCAGAAATTAATGTGGAGCTGGGCTTAACTGAAAATCATTTTTCTCGACCAGAAGTAAGTCTTAAAAATATATTATTGACATACATCATCGTAAAAGTTTAATATTATTACTTTCTTAACTGTTTTGTAATAAAGGTTTAATATAAATATGTAAAAACAGAGAGTCATATTTTGCAAATAAAATTATTATTCTTGAAGAATCATTGACTTTTTTATGAAGGGAAAGAATTTTATGCCACTGTGCCTGTAAAAATATGCTTATTAGAAAGAGAAAATGGTACATATAATTAAACAGTTTCATAGTTAATAAAAAAATACATTGCTTATGAAAAATTTAAATAGTGAGGAATTTGTGAGAAAGAAGTGTAAAATAACTTATAAGAATCGTCTGTTTATCATAAAGAAAAGTGTTATTCATATATGAAGAAATAGATTTACAGAATCTCTTTACCATTCTGAATAGTAATTACATAAAGATTAAATGGTAAATGTTAATAAAGGGAATATTTTAATAAATTTGAATTCAAACATGAGTATGTATATGAATTTTGAAGTGTACATCAATGAATCTCTTTAGAAGTTCCATGTTTTGAAACTCACTGAATTCACATGAAAAGAATGATTCATAAAAGGAATATGTATGATTAACAATGATAGCATATCTTCATAATTTTATCAAGATAATTGATAATGTTATCTAGAATATACCTATAATCAGAAAGTCGTCATTTATCTGAAGTCATCCTTATCCTGTTACTCATTTTCTGAAGTAATTCGTTAGATATTACAACCATAAGTCATTTTCTGCATGTATAACTTTTCAGTTCCTTTCTGGCATTTTCTTCAAGTGCATCAACATTTCCTCACAGCTGCGTTCATCGAGTAGAATTTTGTTTTTAATGAATTCATTCGTCTTTTAAGTGAGTCTATTTTTAATTAAAATATCTCCCCCTCTTTAAAAAAAGGGACCTTATTAAAAAAAGCTGGATTAATTGTATAATTTTAAACATTATTGAAACTTGGGAAGAAGGTTTTGAGTGCTTTCATTTAACCTCCCAATTAACATTATTCACCTTTCCTTTTTGTAAGAGTTCCCACTCACCTGGAAAATCCTGGGAAGTCAGAGAAATAAAAAAATGGTAAGGTAAAAAGTTGCAAAAAGGTATTGATGGCAATGCACCATAGCACTAAAAATGTGTGGCAACCCATGATGTTAACATAAACAATAAAAAAGTGCCATAATTTTTTTTTTTCCTGTACATCTGGGAAATTTATAGAAAAGAAATAGATCCTCTTAAATAATTTTAGTTTTAATAAATTTATGTTTTAAATAATAAACAATTCCCAAAAATTTCCCTCAAGGGCAAATGAAAAATTATTGTAATATTTTAAGATTTTCTTGCAGAGTGCAGTTTTATCAATGCATGGATATCTTTTGTTCCCATTCCTGAGCTATTCTCTACTTTTCTGTGTAGAAATGCAACTTTTCTTCAGCCCTGTCTATTTAGAAGTGTAATTCTTCTTCAAAAATTATTTAGAAGTTACCACAGAATTTGGGTCTTCAATTTTATTTTAGGAGTTATATTAATAATATAAAGGTGTAATATTTATTATGAATGATGAACAGTTATAAATTTTGTTCGCAAAGTGGTTCCTGAATTTATATTCCTGTTTCAAAACTAAAGCTGCTTTTTCAAATGGCTTAAATCTATGTTTTCTACATATATTTCTTTCATATATGATAATGAGTATAATAAATTAGATTTTTATAATATTTAAGTTATTTCAATGTAAATGCATAAAAGTATTCAATTACTGGTAATTAACCCATTCACGACGGGTACCTTTGTTACCGAAGCATTCTCTTGGGAGGGCACGTTAACCAGATACGTCGTCTTGTGGGGATGAGCAATTCGTGCTGCTAAGCCTGACTTTGGAAAAAAATTTGTATAAATTAAATTTGTCATCCAGTTGTTCCAATTTTTGCTACATTATGAGAAGAATATTCAGGTAGTTGTCTGAATTAATTTTAAATTTATATTGTTATATTTTTCGTAAAAATTTTATAAAATACTCGGCTGATCTTTGGAATATGGTAACAGGGAGTTTGGCAACATTTTGGTAAGGCGATAAAAGTTACTAGCTAGGTCTTTAGTAGTGTGCATGGATAAAGTCAAGAGTGTGCACAATGCCATTTTTGTGCAATTCTGGGATGTTTTATAGAAAGGAAGTGAAATAAAGATTTAAAGTGATTAAAAGTGAAAATAGGTCGACGTGTACATGGATGACACCGTGTATGTGCAATTCTTAAAAACGCGGCAAGCAGTTTGCGATTCTGCACTTTCTCTCTATTTCGCACCTAATAATCTTCGTCATGATTAAGCATTTTTGTTCCATAAAAGTTCTAGTATAAGTGTAATTCGGCTAGCAGATTGTTGGAAAAAATGTTGGGTAAAAAATAAAAAAACATGGCTTTACTTCATGAAAACAAAATGGTGTCCAAAACAAAACTAGCAGGTTGCTGTAGCAGGGTTGATTGCCAAATTTTCGCCAAAAAATCACCAAGTTACCATAATCCAAATATTAACCAAATACTCATTCTAGAATAATATAATTTTTCCGGTACTAATCCGTTTTGAGGACCGTAAAAAAAATTCAGCGAAAATGTATGTGCAAAAGCGTCAAATCTATAAACGTGCCCATTTAACAGCGTGCCAAATCTAGCGTACATGCTGATTTCAGATTGCTTAAGTTTATATAGTTCCATATTTTTTAAGACGCCATTGAAATACCAGTTTAATTTTAAAATCCTTTTTTGATTTTGAATTCTTTTTTGATATCTTATGGATTTCACAATTTGCAAATTGCCCATGATGAAAAGTGTGCAGTAGAATTTTTGGTAAAGTACAGAATCACCCACTGCTTGACGCGTTTTTAAAAATTGCACATACTTGGTATCCATGTACACATCGACCTATTTTCACTAAAAAAAAATCCCAGAATTGCACAAAAATGGCACTGCGCACACCCTTGACTTTATCTATGTACACATCGACCTATTTTCACTTAAAAAGTAAAAGAAAATTGATAAAAATCCAATTGTTTTTAACCCTTGTAAAAAGTGGCAAACAAATAAGTAGGCGATTCTGCACTTTAATGAGAATTTTTTCAAAGAAAAGTTATCATTCATTATAGAAAATTATGTTTGAACAACCACCGAGATGAAACTGTGCTTTAGCGATAACTCGGTAGCGAAATAGCAATGCCGGCATCCACTCAGTTATGTTTAGCAATTTTTATATAAATTATAATAATGATCTGAAATAGTTATTTACTATTATGCTTCCATTCAGTCATGTTTAGCTTTTTTTTATATAAATTATAGTAATAAAAAATATTATATGAAATTATCCTTTCATCTAAATTAAAACATCAATCTTAGATAGTTATTTACTATTATACAGTCAAAAGTCGTTAATTCGGACACCCATAATCCGGAATGATCTATAATCCGGACCTCAAAGCTACAAACTTTCTGCGCATGCGTCGCGCTTAAGACCTTTACCGCTGCTAATTTGCGTGTGCGCGTGCGCAAAATACGTTTACGAATGCGCGTTTAATGTATAACGGACGGGATAAGCTAAGCTAAAATTATCTAATTATCTATTTCAGTTAATGTTGCAGATTGCGTTGTTCCTTAATCTTCGAATTGTGTGTAGGTACATATGTGCTGTCTGTCTACGGTAAGAACACCTCCCGCCACGGTGTCTGGTGGGTGGCGGTCGCTATAGCAACAGGGCTGGTATATTTCAAATACGGACGAACCAAGGGTTGCTTTATTGTTATTTTGTTTTTGGCGACTGTTGTTGGCTGAAGGGAAAAGAGTTTATCATTCGTCTTCTTGGTTTCATTCCAGCTGCACGCATCTTTTCTTAAGCCTTATATTATTACTATTAGCTATTTTTATTCTCGTTGTTATATCTTTTGTACTGGTATTTGTTCAAATTTGCTTATATTTAGTTTGATTTTCGTAGTGCTTTGTTAATCGCCAATTTTTTAAAATGCCCTTCCAGTTTAAGAAAGGTCAACCTTTAAAGTCTCGGGCACGTCAAATCGTGTACAGTGTCGCAGAATTTTGCGCTTCTGAAGCTTCGGCGAACTCTTTAGTAGTTCCTCTTCCTCAAGTTTTGAAGAGAACATCGCAAGCTACTGGAGTATCGGAGTATACAATTAAAAAAATTAAGCGCAAAGTATCAACAATGTGGAAAGATCAACTTCTAAATACGCCTGGAAAGAAACGTAAAAGCCCTGCTAATCATAAGTGCCAAATTGATGATTTTGACAAATGCGTTATACGGCAGACTGTACAAGACTTTTACATCAAAGAAAAGAAAGTGCCATCTGTGCGGAAATTATTGCCTGTCTTGAGGTAAAAAATAGACTTCCCGTGGCAAAAAGACTCATTGTGCAAAGTTTTGCGTTCAATGAATTTTCGCTGGAAGAAATGTGTTAACAAAAGAAAAATTCTTATCGAAAGACTTCACATTGTATTTTGGAGGAACAATTATTTACGCGAAATGAGGAAACTCAGAGCAAGTGGACGCCACATCGTTTACATCGATGAAACATGGATTGACAGCAATTTAACTTTTAAGAAATGTTGGCAGCATGATGCGGTTTTGGGCGCACAGATAAATGTCAGTTCCAAAAATAGACTGATTGTTGTCCATGCTGGCTCTTCCGCAGGATTTATTCCAGGTGCCCAACTTATATATAAAGCATCAGCTCAAAGCGGGGATTACCATGGGCAAATGAACTATGGAAATTTTGAAAAATGGGTGTTGGAAAAGCTCCTTCCAAATTTACGACCTCAAAGTGTGGTATGCATGGATAATGCCCCGTATCACACAAAAATTGAAGATCCGACACCTACGAAATATGTACAAAGCAAACAATGGTTAATTGGCTGATGAAGAAGACGATATCCTGCGATTCCAAAATGCGAAAAGCGGAACTGTTCAGCTTAATAGAATGCAATCGTCCTAAAAAAGTAATATATAAAATTGACAACATCATAAAGGAAAATGGGCATCATGTTGTGCGTCTCCCTCCTTACCACTGTGATCTAAACGCAATTGAATACGTTTGGTCATCAGTTAAAAGACTGATCAAGAAAAGGAGTGTGACTGGGGACTTAAGCTTGGAAAATTTGAAAAATTTAACACAAAAAGCTTTGGATGAAGTCACTTCTCAAGAATGGCAGGCGCACTGCAACCACGTAGAAAAACTTGAAAATTATTATTGGGACAAGGACGAACTTTTAGAAATGATAGTGGATGGATTAATAATTCAAACTGGCAGCAGCGATTCTGATTCTGATTCAGAAGAAACGGAATCTTGCGACAGTGACTCAGATGACTTTTCAGATGTTATACCTCTATAAAAGTCCTCCACGAAAGCATCCCTCTTCTTCATCTGATAGCTTTGTCAAGTTGTGAGGATATTTCTAGGTTCAATATTTTCTTTACCAATATGTAAATGAAAGATTACCAAAAGTGGGCAACAATGAGCCTTCAGCAGAGGCGAAACCCCCCCTGTGGATATTAAAGAACACTGAATGATTGCTTCATTTCCCATTACTGTGTTCTTGGGGACCCACAAGTCCATGGTATAATTTGCTTAAAAAATAATTTTTAATCTTTAATTGAAATTAAATAAGTTTTGTTTTATTATGAAAATATTAATACAAAATTATATTAATGCAACAGTGCTCACTGCAGTTATAAAAGCCAAATTTTGTATAATTATATAAATTTCGTATAATTTAAATATAAAATAGGTAACTGAATAATTTAAGAGACCTTAATTTTGTTCTGATTTTAACATTTTATTATGTTACAAGCTATTACAGTGTCTATAAAAAGCAGCATGATGCATAAATGGGCACTGGTAATTAAGAGGCCCAGCAGCGGCCGATCGGTAAAGTCACTGAACACTTGTAGTTCGGTCCGAGGTTTGAATCCAGTGAATGGGCTGGCTGCATAGGTGTTTTCCCCATGTGTAACGTGTATACGAGGCAGTTTTCCTTAGCAAGCCCTCCACGAAGGCATCCCTCCTCTTAGGCATTTAACCCTGGAGGCTTTCCGTAAACATATAAACCAACCCAAACCACTGGTAATTAAGTAAAAAACAGTTTTGATTTTTATTTACCTTCACTTCCTTTCGTCATTAAATTGACCAGCTTTTGGTTTAGTTTGAAGGTATGGGAAAAGAAGAAATGTTCGCAAAAAGTATTTATTGAGAGCATTTTTCTTCAAAAATAAGCACGGATTTTTAAATGCATTTCCCTACAAGTTATTTTGATATATTTTTACTCATTGTACATCTAGAAGGATGGCAAATTCAGCGACTTGTACCTCACACGGCAAAATCAAAGACCGTTCCTTGACTGCAAAAACTTTATTTACGCCATCAATTTTCATTTTTGGAAATTGAATGTCGCGGTCGACGCAAAGGGTCAACGAGCATTTTACTTGAAACTAAAACAAAATGTGAATATCGCCAAATCATCTTTAAATATACCAAGGTGGCAAACTGAGAAGTAAATCTTCAAGTCACCCCTACGAAAAATGGGTCACGGCTCGTTTCTACGGCAACAGACAGCCGCAGACAAACTGGCGAGAGCTGTTCTTACCGTAGACAGACAGTATGCATGTGTTTATACGAACACACATGCATACATTTCTGAATCCGGTCCCCTGATCACAAAGTGCCCAATGTTTTTATTTATGCAATATCACTATTTTCATATGTATTCTTTTTGAGGTATTCCAAGTGATTATCTGATTTGTTTTAAGCAAAAACAGAGCACTGTACTTGGAGAGAATAGCGGAAAAAAATTACAGGAAGATTTGAAGAAGAGTATAAGTTAAAATTTATATTTTAAATTGTTACAGTATATTTTCTTTTCATATGTTAATAATGTTAGCCTATTTATGATAAATATCAATAGTTTGTGAGTCTAAAAAAAAAAAGAAAGTAACATACTTACATCCCAGTAAGTAATTTTAACTTTTCATCTGTAAAAAATCGCCAAATTTCACCGAGGTAATTACATTAATTCCTAAGTATTTTTCATCGAATACATTTCCTATGTAGGAAATTCTTAGGAATACATTTCCCAAGTATTTTTCATCATTTCGAGCTTCATCACTCGAAATAATTCTAAAAAGTGCTTTTTTCATATATAAAAACTAATTATAATGTCAGCTGCTTTTGGGTTTTTCGTATATAATGTCGTAACTTTGATCCAAAGATATAAATCTTGAATGCATGTCTATGATTAAAGCATGCCTCAGTTAGTGTAGGAATTAGCATTTATGTCTATTTGTTTGATCTATTTGTAGGGTTACTTTTGCTTTTCAACATCAGAAGAGCTAGAAATGGCCATCGAACAATGTAAAGAAATGATCAGGACTGAGGGCAGACATGATAGAAAGAAGCAGCTTGTAGCTAAGCTTGTACAGTTGAAGCTAAAACTTCAAGAAATAAAGGTTATTTTATTTTAGTTATGAATGTTTCAAAAGCTAGGTTATTTTTTATTTTATTGCTATTAAATTGACATTATACAGTCAAAAGTCATTAATTCGCACACCCATAATCCGGAATGATCTATAATCCGGACCTCAAAGCTAAAAACTTTCTGCGCATGCGCCGCGTTGACATATGCGTATAGGCATTTACGCGTGCGCATATGCGTGTGCGCAAGCGCAGAATATGTTTTCACGTGCGTGTTTTATGTATAACAGACGTTATAAGCTAAAATTATCTAATTATCTATTTCAGTTAATGTTGATGATTGCGTTGTTCTTTAATCTTCGAATTGGATCCGGCTTATTATTTTTTGCAGAGTGTAAGAGCAATTTTAGAAAAGTAAACTTGAACTTTCGATTATGTCAAATAGAATTTCCGATGCTGGAGCTCCCAAAGGATCTAAGAAACGAAAGTATGTTTCGATGTCCATCAAACAAAAAGTGGAATTGCTGCAAAAAATGGATAAAGATATGAAGAAGGTGACAGAGAGGTTAGTGAAAACGAAAAAATTTCGATTGACAAGTTAGTCGGTATTCTCGGCACAGCAATTACGGGACTTGAACAGCGGAACTTTGTAACTGAACAAGAAATTATGTCTGTTTATAGAAATTAAAGAGAAAGTATTATCACATAAACGAAGCAACTTAAACAACTTACATTGAAAGAAATGTTTAATAAAGTAAACAAATAAATATTAAGCTTTTTTTTTTTTTTTTTTTGTATATTTTGATACCATTTAGATCATAACTGTTCTTTATTTAATAAATTACGAGTTCATATTTTTAATTTTAGAATTTCTGCATGCCATCTTACCAGATTTAAACAGATGATCTATAATCCGGAAAAATCGATAATCCGGAATCGCCGAAGTCCCGACGAGTCCGGATTAACGACTTTTGACTGTACTTCACTTTAGTTTTCTTTAAATAAATTAAAACTATCATTATATTTTTAAACATTGATTAATGTGAGACTTATTTGTTTTTACAAAATATAAAATCTGTGTATTCATGCATTAAAGAAATGAAACTGTGTGATTTATCATGGTAATAGATAGGTATAATGTTTCAGCAGACTGATAAAGCTTTTTCCGTGGTTTTATGCAACCTAAATTTATTATGAACTAGCGACCCGCTCCGGCTTCGCACGGGTATAAATTATATAGCCTATGCCACTCACTGAAAAAATGATTAAAATCGATCCAGTTGTTTTGATTTATTCATTACTGCCCGTGGCCCGCACGCTTTAAATATGGAGTAAAACAATTCCCCTTTTCCTATACCATGAAGATTTCCTGCTATCTTTGGAATATCTAAATTCATACACTACATTTTTACTTATTTACTTTTTACATTTTTACCTATTTATTTTATTTTTACAACAATTAATATATTACAGAATGTCTTTATATACAACGTTCACAGCTTTACTACGACCTATGTTCGAACGACGACGTCTTCCAGACATGACTTTATAATTTCTGTAAAAAATTTATTCAGTTCTATATGTATGATTACTTATGCACAAATTGCCATATTATCAGTATGTGCCGCAGTAAAAAATATCTAAATACTTACCATTTAGAAACAAAAGATAATCAACAATCATAAAAAACAAAAGGTACACTGCTAAAAAAAAAAATGGGACAGTCCTATATCTCCCGATCTACTGGGCCGATTGACAAAATTCAAATTGCATTCTTCATGTCTCGAAAGCGTGACTTAGGATATATATTAGATTTATATATAGCACTATTCTAACATAGGTATTTTGACACAAAATCGGACTTTTTCTGAAATAACATACCAATTTTTTACATGTTTCGATTCTACGACTCAAATTTACGCCTAAATATGAAATTTTGTAAAATTTGGAGCGAAATTTACGGAGAAATTCACAAATTTATGTTGGCACTTTTTTGTCAGTTTGCGCCAAGAATACTTCACTTGGCGAACTTCTTAATATATGGCAACCTAGTTTTCCTTTCCCGTGAGAGGAAAAAAAAGTCACCATCGTTCCTTTTTTCCAAATAATATTTTATATTTATATTTTTAATTATAACTCATTATTTTAAGTAATTTTTTCTTTTTCGAATTTCATTTTAATTGTTTAAGTTGCACGTTTTTTTTTTTTTTCCGAATAACTGTTTTAAAAATTTCTATTTACCTATTCGAACTGCGTAAATAAAGGTGCAGCGTTTATTTTTTTTCAAATAGTTTTCTTTATATATATTTTTCGTCATAGTTATTATTTTAGGTAATTTTTAAATTTTTATACTTTTATTTTAATTGTTTGTGTTGCATTGTCTCTTCGGATAATTGTTTTAAAATTTTCTATTTATTCCTTCGAACTGAGCATTTTAAATATATTTATTAATATCAGGTTTCCAGAATTTGATTTTATTTATTTGAACTGCGTTTCTTTCGGAAGAATACTTTGTAACCCAGACTACGATGAGTTTGAAAACTGCATACTATATTAAAAGAGAAAATACAGTAACGCACAGTTTTACACGCCTTTCAATATTCCGTTCAGAAAAGATATATATAAATAAGAGAGATGTATAACCGACATTTTAACTTAGGATGACTTGCATACACTGCTTTAAACAGTTTTATCATTGTGCCCATTGCTTTACACAATTTTATCCTACATTTGGTTTCTTAAAATGTTATTCATATTTTAGTCAAATATTTTATTTTTGAAATCGCAAGAATGAAATATCATAACATTGAAAAGTTTTAAATTAAAAAAAATAGAAATACTAAATTTTACGAAAAAATTTATTTTTCTTCTCTTTTCCTTTAAGCATTCTGAAAGTATATTAAAAAGTATCCAACTTTTCGAAACATTTTGGTATTTCTGACAATCATTTTAAATAAAGTTATCGCCTTCCATTTCATTAAAACCCACAAACGGCCGAGCGGTAAAGACGCTGATCACTGGTAGTTCGGTCCGAGGTTCGAATCCCGCGAACGGGCTGGTTGCATGGGTGTTTTCGTGGTTTTCCCGATGTGTAACGTGTATACGAGCCATAATTGTGCTTTGCCATAATTAAATAATCCAATCCAATCCTTGATAAAATATAATTGATTTGTAACTGACGTTAAGAATTGAAGTGCAAATAAATAATGTCGTGTGCAATCTTGATTAATATAAAATTAAAAATATTTGCACAGAAAAATATTTGCTTTCAGACAGAAAGTTTTTTGAAATATTTGCAATTACTTTATAAGAAGGATTTATTAATAACCGTAATAATTACTTATTATATTACTGATGATTAGGATTCAGTTCTTGACAATTACATTCTAAATTAGAATTTTAAGGATATAATGAAAATACGCTACGCACAAAAATACATTTTAGGATAAAAATGAGTTGGTTTTTTATGTTTTAAAATTTCTTAAATTCATTTAATAAACATCGTATTCCTCGTTGTTAATTGAATCCTGAATGTTGGGTGGCGTTTATAGAATTATTCTTACTTGTCCACAGAATCTGCTGACTTATCCAGCCATTAAGTAGCTGCAGATCATTTCTACATAACCATTGAACTTCCATTAATTCAGTCTCTAGAGGGCTGTATGTTTATATCATAATTTGACTTTTATAAAAATGATTATTCTAAATATTATGTTTCTATAAAAATATACTGTGCTTTAAAAATGTGGATGGTAGTATCAGCCGCTCTTTCAGCCACTTCAAAATTCAAATAAATATCAAACGAAAATTCTCAGTTTTAGACAATTCGATTTAAACGAAGTAAAGTAGCAGACGATAAAACGCCGAAGATAAAAATTTACTCTTATTTTTTTTTAAAGGAAGATAGAGAGAAATTTTAAAAAAATAGTTAAAAATTTGAATAATATCATCTATAATTTAAAAAAAAAAACAGCTTTTCATATAGTATTAATAAATATTTATTACGCTTCATTGAGGGAAAAAATGTCATATAATTAATTCTCCGTAAAATCTTACTTGAAATTTAAGGTTAAAAATAGCTGTGGCAATTCACTGTAACAAAAATCCATAGACCACATTTGACGTTATTATCGCCCAAAAAAAGATGCCAAATTTCAAAACTCGAAAATATGTAAATTCGTGTATATCTTAGAAAATTTTGAATAAAAAAGTTTAATTTTTTGCAGATATGCTTAAAATACACCTACTTTAAGATGATAGTAAAAATTTTATAGGTTATAATTCAAAATTTTTTTCGAAAAATTTATAAAATTATTTTAAAAATAGAAATTTTAAAAAATAAAACGCAAAAAATGAATAAATTTTATTTGGAATGAACCTAAATTTCGAAATGTGAGAGAAAAAAAATCAAAAAAGTTTAATAAAAAAAGAGATATTAATAAATATTTGCCAAATTCAATTAACATTGAGGAGCTAAAATTTTGAGAGCTAATATTTTAAAAACTACTCGTACGATTTTTACAAAACTTGGTATTCTGGCATAATTTGAGACGTAGAATCGAAATATGGAAAAAAAATGTTATGTTATTTCAGAAAAAGTTCGATTTTGTGTCAAAATACCTATAGAAAAGTGCTATATATAAATCTAATATATATCCTAAGTCGCGCTTTCGAGACATGAAGAACGCAATTTGAATTTTGTCAATCGGCCCAGTAGATCGGGAGATATAGGACTGTCCCATTTTTTTTTTGAGCAGTGTACCGAATGGGCTGGTTGCATGGGTGTTTTCGTGGTTTTCCCGATGTGTAACGTGTATACGAGCCAGTTTCCCTTAGAAAGTCCTCCACGAAGGTATCCCTCCCTTTAGGCAGATAGCCCTCGTGTGCTTTGCCATAATTAAATACTCCAATCCAATCCAATCCAATCCTTAATTAAATATAATTTATTTGTAACTTCTACTAGAACTGATGTTAAGAATTGAAGTGCAAATAAGTAATATCGTGTGCAATCTTGATTAATATAAAATTAAAAATA